CATAAGCCTTTAATGAAATGGAGAAGCTGATAAACACTCTGTCGAGGAATAAAGCTACGGGTTGGGATGGAATAAGTACAGACAAATTCAGTATGCAATCAGTATGACAATCATAAAGAAATAACACTTGTTTCAACATATTTGTAAATATTAGAGAAGCTCGTGGCTAAGTATGAATGTTCAATTATCAGAAGAAATGTCGTGTTTACAAGCTGCAAATGCGGGAAAACATCGTGCCTTCACACTTCTTTTTAATAAAAGAGGCCATAAGCCATGGGTTGGAGATTGGAGAAGACGTAGTTGTGGCGCCAGTCGACATCCGTAAAGCGTTTGACAGTGTGTGGCATGCAGGTCTATTGTACACGATCTTCAATGCTAGAATTAATGGGAAACTCTGGAGAATCTTACGTTCAAGTTATATGGATAATAAATGTGCAATATGATGTAGATTAGATGTTCCCGGAACCTTTTTTGTATTTACCCTGGTGTCCACCAAGGTGGTATCGGTCCTGTAAATTATTATAACTAATTGCATTGTTTTGCAGAGTCTCCCTGCAATGCGGGTATTTCTATTCCCTGGAACGGTGGTTACCAGTGCATTTGTCCGCCCAACAAACAAGGCAAGAACTGCAGTGAAGGTGTGTACTTAATGAAGTAGTGAACCTACGACATATTTCATCGACTGGTTTTTCTTATTTTCACACATCGTTGGGTTTCAAAATACTTTTGAAATGAAATAAAGAAGCCTACTTGCTATTGGGCTGCCAGTTAAAATTAAAAATAATGTTTAATTTTTTGTCCAGCTTGGGGAGCAGTTTTGTATTTTAGTTTTGAGAAATTTTATTCTCTTAATTTCTGAAAAGGCTGTTTTAGAGTCTCCAAGTATTTTATGCAGTTTTGAATGTTCAACAAATTTTAAACAAACCTTTTAACAAATCTTTTAAATGTTTCTATAATAAATACAACTTATCTTCAGATGTTCCTGATGCTGGTAATTGTACCTGGCCTGGGAATGGTAAGTCGTACAAAACATAATAAACCATTATTCATCAATTGTACAAAATGTGTCTGAAATATCACCTGTATGATATCTACATTTGCTTGTGTTTCTTCCCATTTTAAATCAGCATATCAGACATAACGTATAGCACAATAACTCCAAATAGTGGAGAACAACACATTATATGATATGATTAAGAATATGCTTTATGTCACCGCCAGGGAATGATTATTTCTGAAGCTTTCCTCTGTTTATACAGCGTTTGTAGCTACTCCATCGAATTGTGAGGAATTGTAAAGTGCGGCTTGCTCAGCGTAAGTTGCACTTATATTAATTCTGTTTCTAGAAAACGCATGTTCCTCAGCACCCTGTCATGGGGAGGACGCTGTGTGCATCAACACTTTTGGCGGAAATTATAAATGCTTATGCCCACCTGGGACAAACGGCAATCGTTGTGGTGAAGGTATGGAAATCCGAATTCTTGAAGTGAAATCATGTTTACACTGCATACAGGGCGATACAAAAATGCCGACAACATAATGTTGCATAAATTTTTGTCTACATGATATGCCATCAACCTTTTGTAACATATCATTTTCAATACTAATGCTTTTTGCTAAGCAAGTCCATTCAATTAAACAGAAGATGATATAGTTGTCATTAATAAAATCTTTAAAACAGTCCACTCGCATAGCTCAGGGATAACGCGAGTATCAATTAAGCAATATGTCCCGGATTCGATCCCCGGTTCAGGCAACACTTAATTTGTTTGCGTAAAGTAGTTCAGGGTGTTTGACTGAGTGGTCCACAAATCTTACAAAAAGCCATGGTCTTTACTTTATGTCTGTGTATGAGTTCAAATAAATGAACACAGTGCTCTTTCAAGGAGGGGTTCTTGGGTCTGCCTTACAGTCTTTATGATAGTATCAGAATTTGAAAATATCAATTATCGTAAAGGATAGGTATCGATATGGAGAACTGAATTCAACAATGTTTTTCTCTTAAACCAATCATTGAAAACATTCTGTAAAAAACATGGTATTTTATGTAATGTTGACTGATTGACAACAATTTAATGCGAAAAGTATTTAGAAATATTTTATATAACTGTTTTTGTTAAAAAAATTGTTTTTTTAGTGCAATTGTTTTTGCTCCTTTCTACCAATTCTTGAGAATGAAATAAAATGTCTTTCCGAACCTTGTTGGAACAAAATAGCATATACAACATGTTTTAGACCTCTCAATATTAAAGTTATACAAAGGAATTTTTGGTTGATTTTAAAAAAGTATTCAAAAAATTAAAACAAAATCCCCCCAAAATAGATAAAAATCAAGAAAAACCTTTTATTTCATTAACAAGATACTTTTTTAAAATCAACCAAAATTCCTTTGTACAATTACAATATTGGGGACCTAAACATGTTGTGTTTATGTCGTTTTGTTCCAATGAGGTTCTAAAAGATGTTTCATTTCACTCTGGAAACATGATACCAAGAACAAAGCAAGTGTCTGATGTGTTTTTTAAAACAATATAGATGAAAGTATGTATATCTATTTCAAATTATTTTGTTACCATTCAAAAGATTGCCATTAAATTGACAATTTGTAAGATTTTCAGAAATTTTTGATGACTGGTTAAAGAGAAACGTGTGTTCAAAAAGGTCGCCATATCGATTCCCATTCTTTGCCCAAACACGGGACATACCAAAGAGGTATTGATCACCCACATTAATTGTAAACAAAATGCAATGCAAAATAAAAAAAAAGCAACAATAACTTGTTTTCAAAATCATGTTGCAAAAGGTTTGAGGCATTTTTGTGTAGAATCTACTGTGCCTGCAGGAGAATAGACGACACATCTTATAACTCTCATACAGGTGCATCTAGTTGAGCTAGTAGCTCTGAAACTGAAATAATTTCAATGTTCTGAAGTTCAAGTCAACAATCCTGCAGACAAAAAAGTTATGCAGCATTATGTGGGTGGCTTTTTTGTGTCATGCTACACTAGCTACATTCAAATTCAAATTACAAGCGTTGGAGTTGAATAATGTTGAAGGATTTCAGATATTTTAATGTGTTGTGAAAAGTCTTATATCAATAAAAATCTATTCAATAAAAATATATTAACAGAGCCTGATCACATATTCATTTTTTAAATAAACCGAGGGCTGACCAAAAACAGTATTGAAAGTGAACGATCAGTGACCAAAATGTTTTTGTTTATGCAAAAGGGGACTCCAAACTTTCCTATTGATTCTGTTATTTCACCACTAGGAACGTACTGCTTTCCATGTGCAAGTAAAAGATGGAGGAACGTCACATGTCATGTGTTCGACGACAAGCCATTCTTGACATCGATGTCTGTGCAAGACGTAACACTCAAGACCCAGATATCAAGGTAGGGTCAGTTTATCTTGTTTCTTTATTTTCATATATTTAATTACAAAAGTGGAAATAACAGAAAATCCTAAAAACTTAATAACCTGATTTTCATGATTACACCACACCTCTACCCCATTAAAATATTCCTTCACTTCGTGTACAATCTGATATCGTTTCGTAGATGATGCATGTACGAGGATATAAAACTTAATTATGTGCACATATTCCAGACTTTCATTATAATAACAACCATACTCTTATCAGTTTGAGACGATATCTCAATAGCATCTCCATCACACAACATGTGAATCTCTGGAAATAAGAGCATTTTTCTTTACTTTTTGGATAACCTGTATTGTATAATGAACAATAAATAGAGCTTGAATAATAGAGCAGGGACAATGCACCAGTTTAAGGTAGCTATAAGGGCAGAGGCGAGGTTTGTGTTAGCTGAATCTAAAACCTGTATGTATTTCAGGACAAAATGCACGATGAACGACAAATGGAGCTTCAATTTTAGAACAGGGTTCATGTGGGTAGCCAAAGGTTGCAGAGGCAAATTTTGTGTGCACTACCAAGAAGCTGTGCCAGACATAACAACTGTACAAGGTACAACAACTGGACCAGACACAACAACTGGACCAGGTACAACAACTGAACCAAGTACAACAACTGGACAAGGTACAACAACGCGACCAGGTACAACAACTGGACAAGGTACAACAAGTGGACAAGGTACAACATCTATATCAACTGGATCAAGTACAACAACTGGACCAGATATAACAACTGGACCAAGTACAACAACTGGGCCAGTTACAACAACTGGGCCAGTTACAACAACTGGACCAGATATAACAACCGGACCAAGTACAACAACTGGGCCAGTTACAACAACAGGGCCAGTTACAACAACTGGACCGGATATAACAACTAGACCAAGTACAACAACTGGGCCAGTAACAACAACTGGACCAAGTACAACAACTGGGCCAGTTACAACAACAGGGCCAGTTACAACAACTGGACCGGATTTAACAACTGAACCAAGTACAACAACTGGGCCAGTTACAACAACTGGACCAAGTACAACAACTGGACCAAGTACAACAACTATTACAACAATTGCTGGCAGTGTCCCATGTGAAAGTCTCAAATTGTCTGGTTTGTCACGATCCTCGAATCAACTATATCGAACTGGGATCTTCAAGCTGCAATCGAATCTTTGGAACGAAAGACCAGTTTATAAACACCTATGGGATCCAGAGTTTTTGTTCTATGAAAATGGAGCCTGGCTTATAGGACCAACAATAGGACAAAATATATCAGGAATTCGTGTATTCAGTTCAGCTCTGCAACCACAAGACGTGATGGAGTTTTGGAATTCTTTTGATGGTAGCGCTTGGGTAGCAGAGCCAAGTCTGATTGCGTCGTGTTCAGCTATATGTGACACGATTTGGTTGAGTGGTGTTTCATGGAATGGACCACACGCCTACCTATTAGGAGCTTATAGTATTTCAAATAATGATTCAAATGGAGCACCGATCTACAAGAAACAAGATGGCGCAAACAGTAGTGAAATAACAATTAGAATGTCTGATGGCAACAAATGGAGCATTAAAACAGAGAATGAGACATTAACCACGGCGTTTACAACAGCCATCACAAACCCAGTTGAAATAAATAACACATGGACTGTGGCATCTGGTACAATAGTCCTAGAGTGCTACTTTGGTAAGTACAAGGAAATTGTAAGAAACGTGTGAAAAGTGTGGGCATATTCTTACTAGATTGTTTCAACCAAATATACAATGCGCAGCTAACAGTGATATAACTGTAGTGCCATTGAGAATATATATTTCAATATGTTAAATAAAATTCTTATTTGATTTGAAAATAGGGAAGAAAACAATGGAAGTAACACAGAATCGTCATTGTTCAGTTTATTGATAAGACTGATTTCTTTCTTTTTTGTAGGCCAAGAAGGAATTTGTAGTGGGGTTCTGTTAGATGGTGGAAGGAGAAGACAGGGTATCTATTCACTTTATGGTCCTCTTCTCAATGGAAGGCCTGTTTATATTCAAGAAGGTGAAGCTGCCTTCCTTTATTACGTAATCCAGAATCCGCAAAGCAGGTTCTGGATCATCTCTAACAATATTTTATCCACTATTGAATCCACTTCTGGAGTAGTTCGTGTTTACGACATAGCTTTGTCGGCTGATGGCATAACTCGTACATGGCAAGCATACTCACAAGCTGGCTGGGTGGATGACACTAAATTGGAAGCAGCATGTATTACAAGTATGCAGTTTCTGATCCATTTCTCCTGCGAAGATCTAATCAGTTTAGAGATACTTATTCTATATCTGAAATCTGATTGGTCAGATCGTGACCCTTATTGCATCAACTATATCGCAATTTCCTCGGAAGATACAATTATAAATTCCTGTGCTTGGAGGATTTCTCTTAATTGCCCCTTCAGTATCAATCCAACTAAGTTCTAACATAAGCATTTTAATCAAGCCAATTTACACATTGTTTCTCTTTCTAACCTTTTTGTCTTCCTTTATGGCACACGGGCTTAAATATACTAATTGTGTCATTACATTTCAGATAACACCGTCCCTAGCGAAACTTTATACATGGGGGGTGTGGTCACATCGTCAACTCCACAAACTCAAAGGTTAGGATTTTACACGATACACGGAGACTATCACAATTCGAGACCAGTATATATTCACGAATCAGGCAAATATTATCTGTACTATGTAATAAATCGATATTGGGCGATTGACAATACTATTGGTTCGATTAACATCTATATTAAGATGAATGCATCATCCCTTCTACCTCAGGATATAACTGGGCCATTATATGCAGCGGGTTCGAATAGTTGGATATTGATGGATAACATCACCATTTCTAGCTATACAAATACAGGTAAACAGATATATCACGCCTGGTGATCGTGAAAATGGGAGGAAGGGGGCAATTCCTGCTAGACAATTTAATTTTGATAACGTCGCTTACCAGTATTTGTCACAGGTCGTATGCTTGAATTATAGAAAAAAACGTTGATTTGTGCCCGTTAGTGGCCTTGCGCCTTTTTAAAAGATCTTATATCTTAGAAGCATATTGGTTAAAAAATCGTAGAAGACCTAACATATTTTTCCATGCCGTGTGCCTATTCATTCAGGAATTCAATTAAATCTTACAGATTTTTTTAGCTTTCCAGCAGAAATTACGTCCCCTCCCCACTCCGTCCCATTTTCACGCGCGATCACCGGGCATGTTTATCAAACAATCAAACAGACAAGCATTTGTAAAAGTAGCATTAATGGTTAGGTGAACACAGAAAAACAATCAAAAATATCAATTGAAACATAGTCAAGCGAATAGACAAACACCAGTTTTCTAAGTAAACAATAATTTGAAGTAAAAAAATTATTATATGTTATTTTATATTAGATTTTAAAAACACACATTCATCTCATATTGGTTTTAAAACTATTAATAGGACTCCAGAAATAGGAAATGTGGTATAAAATATTCATTAAAATATCACGATAAATGATCTGATATTGGGTTTATCCCATGATTACAATCAGTATCCCAGACAATTCGCAGTGCGCAGTAATTTGCATTACTTTCTCTATATCACAGTGTATATGATATATAGTTCGTCATAAATACTGTTTTACTATTATTGTTATTTAGCAGCATCCTTATCACACTACATACTCAATATTAATGTAATACATCAATGTATCTTCAACAGAATAAATTATCTGGCCTATTTTCCAACTTGTATCGTGGCACGAAATTCAAATTTTTTTATCAAAGGAATATGTGTGTAATAAACGATATCGACCATATATGAGTTTGATAAATTATTTTCTGGAAAATCACACGGATTTCAATAATACTAGAAATATGGCTAACTGTTGATGTACAGGTATATGTAATACATTTACAGTTGGAAAATAAGGAATACGTCAATCAGGATACCCATTAGTGAACAGTTCTGTGCAACATCTGATTTATCTCATTTCTATTATTTTCTTAGGTGACGAGTCTTGTCGTAAGCTCAATCTATCTGGCATGACGAGTGATTCGTTTAATGGTCTTTATGAGAATAAGGACCAAAAGGTTGGGAACAGACCGAGCTACAAACACTTTAATGAGTCTTACAAGCTGTACTATAGAGAAGAGTATGGGCAATGGGTAATCGGGCATGACACCATTCAATCTACCTTTTACGCTTTTACATATAACCCAGCTGTGGACCCAACCGATACTAGTACTACTGTTTGGAAGAAATTGGATGGTAGTACGCGGACAAACCAGCCTGATGTAGTGTGGAGCTGTCAGGATGGTAAAACTTAAGATCATATTTATATCCTAACGCTGTAACATTCATTTCAAAAATGCCTTCTTAAATGTTTCAATAATTATGCTGGGGCAATGGACGATATATTTTCGACTGTTGCATTTGTATGCATTTGAGTAACAACTACATGTATTACATCTATTGGTCCAAGTAAAACCATTTCGTCAGTAATAGTATAAAGGAATTGACAACATTTTAATAGCTTCCTCCTGTTGAAGCTCCATTGTTTTAAATATATTGTATTGGTAGATTCAATATCACTGAACATATTTTTGCTTGTGGAGCATCACACAACAATACCGTTTATCATTGATGTGGATTTACGCAGGGGTCATTTTTCAAAAGAATTGTTTATACTTAAAAATGTATTTTTAATAGATAATAAATAAGTAAAAATATTTTTAATGCATTGGCATCAAGAAAATTTTGTATGCTTTCAACTGAAAAATAAGACCAAAATGAACTCCAAACGCACAGTGGGTGGTATACCTCATTAAAAACTGTTTATTTTTTTAAATTTATTGTTTAAGTCTAACGATTTATTTTAGTCTCTATTAGTTTTAATTACATCGTTTACTATTTCTAAATTTGTTGAGCATCATACATCTTAACAGTTTTTTCATTAATTTGAGAATTCAGCAGGGGTCTAATTTACAAAATCATCAATCATAAAAAAACATTACAAAAATATAAAAACAAGATAAATTAGAAAAATAACAAAAAATACCCTTTTCAGTTTTAGTAAGGTACTGCCATAGGGAGTGCAGTCGCACCCAACAAATCACCATCACCTATTTCAACAAGCCTGTATAGTTATGTATGCGCATACACTCAAATTCTATTGCCAATAAGATCATGAATCAAAATATAACAAGATCAACCCTGGAGAACACCAGTGATAAAGATGATTAAAAACATGGATTACACATCACTTAAATAGTACTTTAACTTGTCAAATCCTGAAGAACAACATAGATGTGCAATGAAGCTGAAATAATTGTGTCATTTATTTTCAAAAAATGAAGAAAAATACAGACGGACAGATGGTCTCATTTTCAATTTAACAAATAGATGTTTCAAGCTAATTACCTTTCAAACAACAAATTCATTAGTAGATCATCAGTTGTAAACTTAAAAAATATCAAAGGTAAACATATTTAAAGGACGATCGAGTGGCTTTAAGAGCCTATAGCCCTCAAGATATTTAGAAAAAATTGTATATTTCAAAATATAGGTCATTCTATTAACGTGTATAAAATGACATTTTCAAGGAAAAAACACTTTTTTCACATCATTATTGTCAATGTTTCTATTTATTATCAAAGTAATCATTATTTTCAGTCATTTAAGAGTTTTTTTATTGATCCTGTTGCTATTATCTTACATAACAGTGACAAAGCATATTGGGCAACATTCGAAACATATAAAATATAACAAGTCAAAAATACAAACAAAATATTGAATAGTAATCTTCTTTATACTTCATTTAGAACAATTGTCTACAAAAAAAGTTTGCGAAACTATGTCAGAAAAGAATATTGAGTTTTTTTTAATTTACATCACAATGAGAAAGAACAAGGGGCAACATTTAAAAACACATGAAGTAATTAACAAGTCAAAAATGTATATCAATCAATTATATATTGATCTGCTTCCTTGAGATCATTTGCACATATGCAGTTTGTGGCAGTAAAATACTGAATTTATTATTTCACATCACAGTGAGGAAGTACAAAGAGCAACATTTGAAAAAACATGGACTTTACCTAACTGTTGATGAGCACATGTGGCGAAGTTGAGTCTCTCTATCTTTTACAAGTCCAAAAATATCATTTCAATCAGTTACTTACAGTTTTTGGTTAGTCCCGAGTTCACGCAACGAGGTTCTGAGGATTTCAGACAAAATTGCCCCTTTTATACCCAATTTTTTTATGTGGGCGCCGCCAAAATAAGGGGTCCTATCCAATGAAATCCCCTAAAAACCCATTAACAAGAATTGGCCGGAAAGAAGTGTGAAAAATTATATGAAGATTAATTATCAACATGCCAAATTTCTGCCCACATTATTTTCTAAAAAGTTGAAAAGTTCCCATTTATTTCAGTTTTTGTTGAAACTTTTGAGACAGGTATGATTAATAACTGAATCCCAGAACCTCGGTCCAGACAATTCTCATGAACTTTTTACCTTACTCATTTAAACCATTAAGTCATTATCTCTTCAAAATACATGTTTTATAATATTTTAAACAATAAAAGTTAGCAAATTCCTTATGCAATTACATTACAATGTTTTCCATATATCAAAATGTAAATTTCACCTACAAAATACTGGTTTTTGGTCAATTTGTACATCATCACCCATCAATTTATCATATCCTATTGTTTTATAAAAATGACATCATATACCAATATGTTTATGAATCTATGGAAGCTAGACAAAACATCATTAATTGGATATGATAGCTTCTTGGCTTCATTCAAAGTTACACTGTCACTCAATAGACTAGACTTCCCCCTTTCTTGGAACCACTTCTTGCCATTGGCTATGTGATTTACCTGTCAAATCTACCACCAGTCCTTACTATAAAACATGTTCAATTGAATGCAAGATATCTTTATCTAAGTTTAACTTTGGCACTCTGCAACATCCATAGAAGTTTAAGATTGTGTCATTGAGTTCAAGGTAAAATTGATAAATTACTAAATTAATAACATTTTCCATCTTAGAAGCCTAAATTAATTTTACAAAAATGAAATGGAAGTGAACAATTTATTCTTGTTTTACATTATGATGTCTTATTCGAAAGTTGTTTATATTCACATGTCGAGAAATGATGTATCTTCAATGTCTACAGTAAACAAAGCTTCCAGTTCCCAAAACATTCTGCCGTTATGATGATATCAGCATAACAGAAGTATTTATCCCAAGATTTCTGTATTTGTAAGCAATTTGTAGAGTATTATGACCTAAGTTTCAAAAATCTATGAACTAAAAATCAAACTTTGTCACATTCCTCCCACCTAACAAATTTGTTTGTCCTCAAACAATAAAAGGATCTAAGAAAAGTGCCAACTTTTTGTTTAAGTGATTAGATATTAATAGCTTAAGTGTACTTAGACATGCCTATTTACAATTTGAAACAAATTTCAATGTATCGTGTACATACTTTCAATTGTTATCTTTGTTAACAAGTTAACTAGCCCGTTTTTAATGTGGTTATAGTGGTTATAAGTTATATTATTGAGTATAATATTGAATATAATATAATATATAAAATACAGTATAATAAGTGTTCAAGTCTCATTCCAGTCCTTGGTTTGGTTCATCCTTTTTGGCTTTCTCTTGTCCAGGCATATGTCTTCTTAAGAATACATTCCTGAGACGAATGAAGAGTTTTTCGTGAATCTTTTCCTTTCTTAGCACATACAGTCCCAGAATCAGAGCAATAACAATGAAGATAACTTGGAAAATTTCTATAATCCAGTGTTGTTCAAAAGCTAAATCAATGTCAGTATCGGATTCCCATTTTCCGTCAATGATAAGGGATCGAACTACGTCATCCATATCTCTGTTAAACTCACTAGCTTGGGACATGACCTCTGGCAGGGGTGGTAACTCTCTGTCCTTCAAATCCTCTCCATTCTCTTTTGGCATCATCTGTTGATACTTGATGACGAATGGTGTTCGAACACTTACATGTTCGATAAACTGGAATACATCAGCATTACAAAATGGAGCTATCAGTTCATCCCTATATCACCATTCTGGATTCTACAGCTACACGGTAATGTTACCACACATAATTTATACATTTGTGCCGGTCGAATAAAGTTTCTATAATAGGGTCTGCTTGGAAGATGTGTTCTCAATTAAAATATAAGGTCCAAGCAATGAGAGTTTGTCACTATTGACTATTATGTCAATGCAACATTGTACTGGCAGTAGTCCATTGGTTTATAGGGATCTCCTCGGAACAGATGTAAAGTGCAAGCATTTGCCACACTCCATTTGCAACTTGAAGAGTGATTCGAGTTGGACTTAATTCCACATATTCCTTTATCGAATCGAAAAGCTTAGCGTTTATAATATTTACAGCAGCACCAGTATCCAATAAGCAGTTTATATGTTGATTATTATATATAAGCACTGGTAGCTTAAATCCTCTTATCTCTTCTACGAGATATGTTTCCTCCTTGGGTTCTTCTTTGGGTCCATCAGTATAGCTAGCTGTGTCTCGACCCATAGACTCAGCTATTTCTCGTTTCCCTGTTGCTGATTTGCTTTCTTTTTCAGCCAATGTTTAAACGAATAGCAATCTTGTTTGACATGACCTTTCTTGTTGCAGAAAAAACATACGCCTTGGGTTCTTGCTTCTTCATATGATAGCCTCTTTGGAGCTGGGCTACTTTTGGCGACTTCTGGGTTTGTTGGCTTATTATCTTGGATGGTACTCATTCTGTATGGTCGTCGACTTCCTGTATTACCTGCTTGGAAGGCTTCATACTCCAACCCCAGACTTACTGCATCATCGATTGTTTTGGGTTTACCTTGGTAAATCGCCCATTTCATGTCAAAGTTCAGTCTTGCTTCCATAAATTGATCCAAAGCTAATTGACTCCGTACTTCATACGTTGTCTTTGGCCACGCTTTTCTGACTAATTTCTTAAGGTCCTGTGCAAGTTCAGGGAGTTGTTTCTCTTACGATTTTTCAGCTGTGTTTTATACATTTGTAGCTGATTTTCTGGTTCAAACCTATTTTGCAAGGCTGAACAAAGTTTCTCATAGTCGCGTCTATCTGCTTCGCTTATATCAGACAATATACCCAATGCCAGTCCTCTTAAAGTGGTTGCCAGTTCAAGGGCCTTTATTGTTTCATCCCAATTATTAGATGCTGAGACCATTTCGAAGTGGCATTTGAAGTCTTGCCACGATGTCGATCCATTTTATTCAGCCGGTTTCTTGGCCTTTCGCTTCTCAATACGCTCATTTGTGTTTGGTACTTCAAGTTTGGATAGCACTTCTGTAAACCATCGTTTGTCAGACCAAGGGTATTGCATCTCCTCTTTGTTCTGTTGTCTGTCACTTAAAGGATATTGATTCGCCTCCTTATTGGCCTCTGTAGTAGGAAATCGTCGTTCCTCCCTCCAAGGATATTGTTGTGCCTCCTTGTGGGCATCCCCTGTAGGTAACCGTCGTTCCTCAGGCCAAGAATATTGGTGTGCCTTCTTGATGGCATCCCCCGTAGGTAATTGTTGTTCCTCAGTCCAAGAATATTGGTGTGCCTTCTTGGTGGCATCCCCCGTAGGTAATTGTTGTTCCCCGGGCCAAGAATATTGGTGTGCCTTCTTGGTGGCATCCCCCGTAGGTAATTGTTGTTCCCCGGGCCAAGAATATTGGTGTGCCTTCTTGGTGGCATCCCCCGTAGGTAATTGTGGTTCCTCAGTCCAAGAATATTGGTGTGCCTTCTTGGGGGCATCATCCGGATAAGGTTGTTCTTCAGTCCAAGAATATTGGTGTGCCTTCTTGGTGGCATCCCCCGTAGGTAATTTTAGTTCCTCAATCCAAGAATATTGGTGTGCCTTCTTGGTGGCATCTGTAGTGGAAGGCCATTCCATTTGTAGAGGATTGGACGTCGCTCCTCCAATGGCGACAGGGTAGGTTCGAAAATTGACTGCCTTCTTCTTTGGGAATGCTCCCATTTGAAGCACCTACATCGGCTTTTGTCAATGATTGCTGTGGCGAGAGTACCTCCATATCAATCTTAAGCACTTGTAAATCTTTAGGGATGGATGTTACCAAACCTTCCGACACGACTTCCTGGTGTTTCATTTTATACATCGTTGATTGGTTAACATGTCTCGCTCTCTGGTTCGAAATTCTTTGACTTCATCACATAAGCGGAAATTGACGTCGCTTTCCGTGGTGCGACACAAGTGACAGTATTTTTCTTGAAATTACTCCCGAGAAAATAGATGTATGACTCGTATAGCCTGTGACTGCCAGCTTGTAAGGTTGTGAATGCGTGTGTGGACAACTGCAGTCTTTGCTACCGTCATCAAACGTTTTGGCACAGTAGTAGTTGACTTTATGGAGCCCCCAGTCTAGACTCCCTGCAATTGTCGCTAATTATATACATAGATCATTGATGGTCTTTGGCTTCTTGGTTCCCCTTCTTCTGTATTCTTGGTGTATATATATCAACATCAGAGGGTATGGGACACCCTTTAGCATTTCATCTTCCTATTTGTCAATCAAATCTTGCGTGGGGATTTGATCTCAGGTTTAGTTATGCTCAACTTCAATGATCTAATTTGACTGAGTTGTTTAAGTCGACTTAAGTGAGAACTCCATTACACAATCTCGGTTTGGCCAAAAACATGAACCTTTCATGGTAATTTCCATGTGTTAATTTTTTTTATGATTTTAATCAATAGATGGCAAGTTGTTATGGATTGTCTAACAAAAATTACTGGATATCCTAAGTTAACAAAAAGAGTCATACTTTACATTTCCTAAATAGATGTGGCAACAGTATTTAAAGTTGCCTTGACTTCATCTTAATCTATTCAGTGTCAGAAATGTGATGTTACAAATTATGCAAGTCATTGAACAAAGCATAAATTATTTATTTACTTAATATTCAGAAAACTTAAGATACTTTTTGAATAGTTCTGAAGGTGGTATTTCTGTTATGTCTTTTATCTGCACCAAATCTTGAATTTTTATGATGCAGTTGGCTTTTAGGGTTGATGGTACATCTTGAAATTCGAAAAATTCTGTGATGTTTTCGTATTTCTTTTGAAGTTTCGAAATTTTCTCAAAATTGTATCGAACAAACCCGTTTTTTACATATGAATTGTGACAATTCCTGAAAATGTGAAATTCATCCAGTTTAATATAGCCTGGCACTATAATTTGAGCATCTGACATGCGTTCATTGCTAAGACATCTATATGTTCTTAAAAGTAAATTAGATCGCTTAATAAGACTGTATTGAAGACCAGTTATTGGAAGTGATCCCTGATTCAGGAAAATTAAGGTAATCCTTGGCATTCTAAAATTTAATTACCTGCGGTGTACTTGTTATCAAATTGTAAATACAAGTCTAACAAAAATTACTGGCTGTGTTTATTCAACAAAAAGTGTTTTACAGTAGTGATACTTTCACAGTTTATATTTGAATGTGTTACGCCTTATCAACAATTAATTATTCCAGGGGGATGTTTCCCCAAAATGTCAAAACGGTTATCATAACATAACATAACATAACCTAGTTCACGATTATCCCAAGTAAGTTGAATAGCTAGAACAGAAATGTATGCCTGTATAAAGCTGGTCACATCACAACAGTTTAACAATGGAACAACATCAACAAACTGGATTAATACTGAAATGAATAAATTCAATACAGATAATATTAAATCAATTCTAAGAAAAACAATGCAAAACAAAACAACCAGAAATCATTTTATCAGGAGCTTTAAAAGTAAGTTTCAGATATTCTTGGAATTCAAACCAAAATAAAAAGTTCAGTACTAGTCAACATGTTATTTTGAGGGTAAGTAAAACATTCTTTTGAATTTACTGAAAACATACTTATTTTATCAGTCAAACGTGAATATGAATCATTAACAGCTCGGTCATGTTGTAGATCTACTAATAACTAAATCTAAGTCAAAATTCACCGACAAGAAAAACAGAAAATATACTTCATACTCCAGAATCAAAATATTGGGTTATTTTCTTAACAAAAGTTGAATACATGATCCCTCCTAAAACAAACAGATATATAATTTGAACTTAAGAAATGCTTTACTAAACATGTTCAACAAATCTTTCCAACAATCATATAAGCTTATTTTATATTATTTACCTTAATTTTGTTTAAAATCAAAATGATCATCAAGAATATCAACCTTTGAAATATTTAAAAAAAGAAATTCTCAATTTCTTTATTTAAGTCACTTATTTGAAGAACTTGGTCAAATCATTTCATTATGCTTTTCATTCTTAATAATAAACCAACCAAATATCTGACAGTTATTTTAACATCTTTTCTGTGCATGAAAATGAAGTGTTTTACCGTAGTCTTGCTGTATCCTCAATATGTTTATACCTGCTGCCAAGTAAAGATATCCAAATGTTTACGCAGATTGAGGGTATTAATCTCAAAGTTACAGCCTTCCATACAACTTCCTTCCGATAAACATTTTGTAATAAGAAACTGACGAATACTTATCTAAATAACAACTGACCAAATTGCAAAATGTTTAATTTAAATATAACTCAATCCAATATGTTTGCCATCCACTGATTATTTTCTAAATAATTTTCAAATGTTTTCATGCTTATGCAATAAAATATTGAGACAATACAAAGGCCACAGAAATGTGGGCCTTGACCAGGGCGGAACCTAGTCAATTTATCCCACCACTGCCACCAATTGTGGCGAAGTTGAGTCTCTCTATCTTTTACAAAACATGAAAACAAATATAGTTTAAAATATAAATTTATTAAAGAAAATTTAAAGTCCAAAAATATCATTTCACTCAGATACTTACAGTTTTTGGTTAGTCCCGAGTTCACGCAACGAGGTTCTGAGGATTTCAGACAAAATTGCCCCTTTTATACCCAATTTTTTTATGTGGGCGCCGCCAAAATAAGGGGTCCTATCCAATGAAATCCCCTAAAAACCCATTAACAAGAATTGGCCGGAAAGAAGTGTGAAAAATTATATGAAGATTAATTATCAACATGCCAAATTTCTGCCCACATTATTTTCTAAAAAGTTGAAAAGTTCCCATTTATTTCAGTTTTTGTTGAAACTTTTGAGACAGGTATGATTAATAACTGAATCCCAGAACCTCGGTCCAGACAATTCTCATGAACTTTTTACCTTACTCATTTAAACCATTAAGTCATTATCTCTTCAAAATACATGTTTTATAATATTTTAAACAATAAAAGTTAGCAAATTCCTTATGCAATTACATTACAATGTTTTCCATATATCAAAATGTAAATTTCACCTACAAAATACTGGTTTTTGGTCAATTTGTACATCATCACCCATCAATTTATCATATCCTATTGTTTTATAAAAATGACATCATATACCAATATGTTTATGAATCTATGGAAGCTAGACAAAACATCATTAATTGGATATGATAGCTTCTTGGCTTCATTCAAAGTTACACTGTCACTCAATAGACTAGACTTCCCCCTTTCTTGGAACCACTTCTTGCCATTGGCTATGTGATTTACCTGTCAAATCTACCACCAGTCCTTACTATAAAACATGTTCAATTGAATGCAAGATATCTTTATCTAAGTTTAACTTTGGCACTCTGCAACATCCATAGAAGTTTAAGATTGTGTCATTGAGTTCAAGGTAAAATTGATAAATTACTAAATTAATAACATTTTCCATCTTAGAAGCCTAAATTAATTTTACAAAAATGAAATGGAAGTGAACAATTTATTCTTGTTTTACATTATGATGTCTTATTCGAAAGTTGTTTATATTCACATGTCGAGAAATGATGTATATTCAATGTCTACAGTAAACAAAGCTTCCAGTTCCCAAAACATTCTGCCGTTATGATGATATCAGCATAACAGAAGTATTTATCCCAAGATTTCTGTATTTGTAAGCAATTTATAGAGTATTATGACCTAAGTTTCAAAAATCTATGAACTAAAAATCAAACTTTGTCACACACATTCATGTGTTTGTTCATTATAATAAGAGATTCTCTGAGCTATCATCATCTTCTTCAGATGACACCATTTCATACATATCTTTTGATTTTAAGATGTCAAACTTCGTGCATTTCTTTTTGCTTTTATACCCCTTGTGCCTACAACCCTACTCCCAACAAGGCATGTGCAACACCATCCAATGATTGCCTCAATACTAATATTACATACATCTGGATCTGGGTTATACTCCACCCATGTATAATGAGATTTAGCGGACACAAACCGATTACTGGACTTTTACACAAATTAGGCCATATGTATCTTTTTTAACAATGTTTCCCATCTACTTGAAAATGGTCATCTGTGCATCGTTTAAATTGGTTGACTTGATCTGAAGAGAGTCTACTTTGATTAAGATGTAACACTCTTGTCTCCATACAGGGGGTACTGGGAGATTGCAGTTCACTCATGCAGTTCCCTTTGCTTTGGGCATTTTATTAGCAAATGTCGTTTTTCCGCCTACTGATTGTGACTTACAGTATATTTCTTCTGGGCAATAAAGTTTAGCTGGATTTCCGAATATGAACAGTGGTATGATCAGCCAGTGAACTGTGATAATGTAAAAAAAATTATTCATACACAAAACATCAAGTTAAAATGATTGTGCAACAATCATCTCATATGAATGTATTAAAAGGAATTGCATGTTATTATGTTGCTTAGAGCCATGGTAAAGATATATGCTTCTCAAGAGGTCATGCTCCAGTGCAAGCTTACATATTAGTTCATAAAAAGATCATATGAATAAAAAAAATATATTCAAATATATAAAACACAGCTGTCACAATCATTTTAAGGATTTTCAAAATGGCTGACATCATTTTATTTCATGCTGAAAATTGCAGAAAAGTTCCATTTTTGCACAACGCTTGGTCCTTACCTAGATTTTTACATATCTCAAGAAGTACCTTAGACGTGCACTATTCCCTCAATACATATAACTTTCTAGGTAAGAACCAAGCGTTATATGAACAAAGCAAGAGTTTATCATGACCTTCCTCGATTTAAAAAGAAGTAGGTCAACACAATTGCAAACATAACTAATCCCTACTCAATGACTATTGAAATATGACTATTTATATGTACAAAATATTAAGCCAATGAGTGTATAGAATGACACAATCAAACAATGGGACATCTGCCAAGTTCAGTTTATACATTCTGGAGACATTTTCTGAGACTGATAAAAAATTCACATTTTCACAGGAAGTGATGCATACCTCCCAAACCAACAAAAATATACTTATATCAGGAATCTTGAATGCTTTTTATTGCTATTTCTTGAAAATATACATATTTATCTACAATTTGATCGAACATATCAAGGATATTAACGACATTGCATTTTTCAAAAAAATTAAGTGACCCCAGGGGTGTCTATAGGCATTTTGTTCTTTAATTGAACCCTGCTAGACCCTAGAAACGTATGTAGGAATATATGTTTTATCATTTAAAAATATCTTAAAACAATTTGCGTATCAACGAAAAACAAAATGAT